TTGGATTTTGTGTATATAACATAAATGTCAGTTCACTGCTTCTGATAAATGTGATAAAATAAAAGAGAATCCTACACAAAATAACTGTAAAAGTAAATAAAGGAATTGACAATTGACTAACGCAAATGCAAATGGAAAAGCGCGAGATTTATGCGACTATAATGAATGCAATCAATGCTTCTTTATTTTAAAAATTAAATTATTACCATTTATTGCAAGTAATTAATGCTTTTGGCGGGAAATAATTTTAAAATAATTTAACTTTATTTTTATTTTATATTGATAGATTTTAGTCTCGTTTTATGACCAATTTGATTAAATTTTGTATTCTTTGTTATGACCGGTTTGACTCCATTATTTGAATATCTTTGTATGTAATTGATACATTGAAATGAAATCTTTACAATATTTTTTTTAGTTGTATATATTACATATGTGAAGAAAACAAAAAACTTAAAGTTCAAATATGCGATTTATTATGTATATAAAAAAATGTACAATCCAAATAATTAAGTTTTATTTAGCATTTATATTATTAATATTAATACCATCATTTTTTTCACGACAGATTTATATTATATTAAAATGAATTGATAAGACTAAAAGGAGATATAGATTGAATCGTGGTTAAATTATTTAATTCGCTAATAATACTGTTTTAAAAAAGATACTCCATTTTTTTTTTTATCCGTATACTCCATAATAATACCGCTTTTAATTAAATAGAATTGATTCCAAACAAATGAATTTAGTGTTTATCAAATAGTATGGAGTATCATTTAATTAGTGTTTAATTACGAAAATAGTGATTAATTACAATTCCGTTTCTACAGTAATTGTGGTTATTATGTGAATTTAAGATTACGAAAATAGTGATTAATTACAATTCTGTTTTATTACTTTATATTTATTGATTTGGATGCCAACTTCCACCTACCCACCCCAAACAAGTCCGTATATCCTCCATTTTGGGTAATATATTGGTTCCAGGGCAAGTAGCCTACCACAACCTTATGACATATGCACAATAATTTGACCAATTATGTACGTACATTTCTTCAAAAAAATCTCAAAAGCTCCATCATTAAGCTGCCACAAATTAAAAACACGAGACGTTTGAATTTCTTTCTGGAGTATCGATCAGAACATAATTGAAGACTTTGCGTGCTCATGAATTATATCTTCAATAATCCCCAGTCCCTTTCAATAGTACATCTTTAGTTAACCAAATCTCAGCGAACTATCCACATTTTCATGCCGAAATGTTTTCCCTATACTATATATTTTACACAAACTCCACTTGAAATAATACCGCTAATATCAATCTTGATATCCAGACACAGGCCAGCAGTAGAGGTAAGATGTATAAATTAATTAAATTTCATTTCATATGCTGCATTAATTGTTGTACATTGATCTTTATATTTCGCATATCTTAAAATTTGCTAGAATTAACTCGATCCGCAAAAATGGAAAACGGCAACGAAATTATCGAACTTAGCGTCAAACAGGGGCAGCCCACATTAGTTCCCCCGGCTGATGAAACTAAGAATGGCCTCTACTTCCTATCGAATCTCGACCAGAACATAGCCGTAATTGTTCGCACGATTTACTGCTTCAAATCGGGAGACAAAGGGAACGAGGATGCGTTTGGAGTAATTAAGGATGCCCTGTCTAAGGTTCTTGTCCTTTACTACCCTTTGGCTGGCCGACTCAAGATAAGCCCCGAAATGAAGCTCATAGTCGACTGCACGGGTGAAGGCGCCGTTTTTGTCGAGGCTGAAGCCGAGTGCGAACTTAAAGAGTTGGGGGATATTACGAAGCCCGATCCCGAGAGGCTCGGGAAGCTTGTTTACGATGTGCCGAGCGCCAAGAATGTTCTCGAAATTCCGCCTCTGGCGGCTCAAGTGAGTTGGATAAGATTATTTTAGTTCTGAATTTTGTTTCATAGAAGGTTCTCCACAATCTTAGCATGAGTTTTGTAGGGTCTTACATTTGTGATGCATGAATTGTTTTGTTTGGAAGAATGGGTTATGGAAGCTTTGACTTGTCATGCCAGTTGCATTTTTCTACATTTGTGTGTATGTGTGTAAAAGTAAGATCATGTGGACCTTGAATACTCCATGGAGGAACTAATATATATACTTATATGCTTCTAAAAATTGAACATTTTTTTAGTTAATTAGTCTTTATAGTAAAGTATTTGTGAAAACATTTTCTTGACACACTTGTGGAGCATTTTTCAAGTGTCTTGTGATGCACTATTTTCTTGACACA